TGGGAGGGGACTGTCATTCAATCTTAATGAGCCACCATTGACGTCGTCGATGCTGTTTTAATTTGGTTTTCTTTTTCCTTTTTCCCCCTTCTTAGAACTTAGTGTGACTGTATATAGTTAATTTTGTTGTCTTTTACTTTGGCTTTTTTGGTTTCTAGTTTAGGAATGAAGGGGGAAGTGGAGTTCAGATTTTAGAGTAAAAACTTTGGTGCTGGCGTAGCTATTTTGGTGATGAATTAAAAGCTCGGCTTCTTTTAGAAATTGATCTCTTTACCGAATATATGTGAAGGTATTACAGGTTGGTTTCTTAATGTTACGATTCGGTTGTTAATGTTACGGATTGGTTGTTAAGGTTATGAGTGGGTTGTTAAGGTTACGTATCGGTTGTTAAGGTTACGAGTTGGTTGTGAACCTCGGTAACCTCCGTAACCTTAACAACCGACACGTAACCTTAACAACCAACGCGTACCCTTCACAACATGTAACCTTAATAACCGAGCCTAAACATTAACAACAGACCCCTAACCTTAACAACCAACCCGTAACACCTTCACAACCGACGCGTATCCTTCACAACTAACTCGGATTATAACATATATACTTCCTGTATAAACAAAATCCGAGAATTTTATGGGTCCAGAAAAAGTTCTACAAGGACTCGTCTCTCAGAAATAGAGGAATATTTAGCCTATGAACGAGCAGCAACCGCAATAGAGAGAGTATAAGAGGGGGTATTGACCATCGAGAAGCAATGCGAGGAGGAGGCGGCTGAGGAGATTTCTAAAAAGGCACCAGCCACCGAACCATCGAGAAGCAATGCGAGGAGGAGGCGGCTGAGGAGATTTCTAAAAAGGCACCAGCCACCGAAGCTGGCGAAGAGGATGCAGCTAAAGAAGATCATGTAGAGGAACCAGCCCTTGGGCCTCATACCCTAAGGTCATCAAGGAAGAAGGCTCTCACTGCTGAGAAGGAGGGCAAGTATGAAAAGAGAATTCATAAAAGAAGGCCTGTTGTTGCCAGAAATTCCAAGAGGATGTTGAGAAGGGGGACACGATGAAGTCCGTACTTGTCGCGCTCCCGGAGGATAAAGAGGATGTCATGCTTCAATCCACTCCTTCTGTTCCTATGGATGTGGAAGCTAAACAAGGGTCGACTGTCAGGGGTTTGACACTTGTTCACACGAAAAAAGATCCGCCAGAAGAATTTCCTTCTAAAATTGTTCCTTGAATCTATGGGTATGGTCTATCTGATTGCTCCTCCTCCAAGTTCAAAAACCTTGAGAAAACTCATCGAACAGTTAGAGAGCTGGATGCAAATAACAATCGATGTCGTCAACCTCAGAGAAGTTGATTTTAGGGTTTTTGAGCTCTATCTGATTAGTTGCCAGAACAAGATCAAAAGCCAAGGTAACGTATTGTGGACCGAAAATTGCAGGGAGTGCATTATCCTCCTAGAAGCAGAACTGAGGTTCCTTGTAGATTTATAGCGCACCGATCTGAGACCCGAGGTAGACTAAGATTTTTCTGCCGCCCAAGCCTGGAGGGTACAACATCAAGAGGCTCTTCACAAGAGCTTTTCTAAAAAGGAGGTATGCATGGCAATCTTACAGAAGCAGCATACTCAGATACAAACTGATATGAGTAGTCTCTCTATAGGTGTTCGGGACGCTAAGGCTTGTCCAAAAGAAGGCCCAGTTGGTTTTGGATGTGGAAGTTATAAAAGGGCTAGCTCTTCTAACTGACGAGGTTGTTAAGGACTTCTGTAGCGAACTCCAAGCTACTGAGGAAATTCAAAGAGAGACTGCAGCTGTAGTGCCTGTTGAGGAAGAACTTAGGAGGAAGATTGCCGAAGAAGTCCGAACAGGTCATGAGCAAAAGTTGTCTGCACTTAGATCCAAACTCAAGTTTCTGAAATTAATGAGTCGTGACACTTGAGTTTTAAATTGATTTTGGGAATACTTTTGTATCATTTTCATTTCAATTATCATCACTTTGTATCAAGTTAACAATATTGAATGAAAATGATATCATTTTATTTTTCATCGTCTCTCTTGTTGAATTTCAATTTAGGACAACGAAAGATATTACAAATGTCATAGGTGTAGTGTTAACTTAACATAAGTTCGAAATTCTCTTTATTATTACTTAGAATAATTCCAAAAATTTTTAATCGTCAGAGATATAATGTTAACTTGACAATATACATGCTGAGGAAAATAGGCAGGTTGGTTTTCCCTCCATTTACATAATTTTTTGGATAAGCAACCCCCAGTCAGATTTCACTGGGGATTAAGAGAAAGAGGGTTTTATGGCCTACGGGAAATATCTCTTAAGAAACTTTCCGTTAATTGGCATCATGAGCATGTCATCTTTTTGATCGATGAGACGATAAGCTTCATTCGAATAGACCGATTCTATTACGAAGGGTCCTTCTCACTTGGGGTTGAACTTTCCTTTGGTCTTGTGTGTCATTACCATGGGTCGTCTGACGGCTAATAAAAATTTGCCTTTCTTGAACATTTATTTTTTAACCTTTTTGTTGTTAACTTTAGAAATCCGGGCTTGATATAACTCAATTTGTTGCTAAGCTTGGAGTCGCTTGTCCTCTAAGGCTTCAAGTTCCTAAAGGCGCAGTCGGTGTTTCTCATCCTCTATCGTTCTAGTCGTGATAGTGACTCTCAGGGATGTGATATGAATTTTTAATGGTAACACAGCTTCGCAGCCATATACCAAAGAGAATGGAGTAGCTTTTATAGGGGTTATCACCATCGTGTAGTAGGCCCACAGACATTCGCCAAGTCTTTTGTCCCAATTGCGTTGGCTCTTAGAAACGAACTTTCGGAGAAGCTTCACAATAGTCTTGTTAAGAGCTTTTGCAAGGCCATTAGCTGGCGGATAATATGTTGTAGATGCGACACTTTGGATTCTAAACTTGTCACATAATCTCTAAAATTCATAGCTGACAAATTGTGTTCCGTTATCGTGGACTATTCGTCTCGGGACTCCAAAACGGTAGATAACGTGATGTTTGATGAATTTGATCATATTCGAAGTCTTGACTTCTTTCAACGGGATTGCTTTCACCCATTTGGAGAAGTAATCGATTACAACCAAGATGAATAGAATGTAGGTTCCCTGGTGCCTGATGAATAAAGTCACCGTAGATTTGGCATGCGTGACAACGTCTAGCATAGTAAACTGCGTCTATAAACATCTTTGGCCAATAATAACCATTTCATCGGAGGCGGTCTCTCAACTTAGTCCCGGGTTGATGAGCTCTACAGATCCCATCATGAGCTTCCTTGAGAGCTTCTTTAGCTTCTTTCCTAGAAAGGCACCAAAGTAAAACTCCATCATGTGATTTATAGTATAGAGTTTGAGACGCCACATTGTAATAGAATCGGAGGGTCTTCCGTTTGATAACGACTGCTTTCTTGGGATTATCGGGCAAAATCATGTATAAGACATAGTCGATATACGGGAATCACCAATCTCTAGGTTCAAACTCCATTGATGTTGTGCAGACTTCTCCAATCATCGTCTTGTCAGATTGTTTGTCTAAGGAAATCTTGGGGTAATACAACTCGCGTCCTGAGACATGGATTGTTGTTTCAGCTCCTGGTGACAATGCTAATGAAGTTTCTAGTGAGGCCAATGTGTCTGCATAAGCATTCTGAGCTCGTGGAATATATCCAATAAAGAAACCTTTGAACTTCCGAGCTTGTTCTAGCACTACGAAGTAGTATGGGAGTAAGTCCTCATTGCGCACATTATATTCTCCCCGGACTTGATTTACGATGCGTTGAGAGTCATTGTATGCTTCGAGATGTTGAATATTAAGTTCTTCGGTGAATTTCATCCCTAACAGTAAAGTGTTATACTTAGCTACATCGTTGGTGCAGGGTTCGATCAGGGAAAATCCTCTTGGAATCACGTGACTGTTTGGGGAAATAAATATTACACCTACTCCGGTAGTGATTACTCCATGAGGGTTTGCTCTCGATGCACCATCAAAGAATAGTTTCCACACTTGCATAACTTCTTGGGCTAAGCAAGCTTCGTCAACTTCATCAGGTAAGTCTTCATACAACTTAGATGATCCTGGTACCGGATGATCGGCTAGGAAATCTGTCATAGCTTGACCTTTAACAGCCTTCTGGGGCATGAATTGCATGTCATACTATGACAAGAGGATTGCTCATTTCGCTAGTCAACAATTCAGGGAGGATGGTTTCGTCATGAGCACTCTCAACGGATTTACCTTAGAAATGACATGAATTATTTGTCCTACTAGGTAATATCACATCTTTTGGATAGCGAATACCAAGATAAGACATTCTTTTTCTACTGGATTGTACCGGTGTTCGACTCTCATCATGGTCCTACTTAGGTAGTAGATTGCTTGCTCCTGTCCTTGGTCATTGTTCTTTGCTAATAAAGCTCTCAGAGAATGATTTATGGCTCTCACATATAGCAGGAACGGTTTTTCCGATATTGGGGCCTCAAGAACGGGAGGTTGAGTGATGCATCTCTTAATCTCCTCAAATGCCTTCTGGCAGTCTCCATCCCAAACGAATGATACTCCTTTCTTCATGAGCTTATAGAAAGGTTGGCAAAATCCCGAGAGGTTGGAGATGAATCTCTGAATGTAGGCCAATTTGCCTTGCAAACCTCGGAGCTCTTTAATGTTCTTCGGAGATGGCATGTCTTGGATGGAATGTACTTTTTCTGGGTCAAGAGAAATTTCCTTAGACGTAACTATAAATCCTAGGAATTTTTTACTTGATACTCCGATGAATGATTTGATCGGGTTCATCTTTAGCTGGTGTGCTCGCATGATGTCGAACATTGTCTTTAGGTCTGTAAGATAATCACCTTTGTGTTGGATTTTTACTGCTATATCATCAACATAGCATTCAATATTCTTACGTAGATTCTCATGAAAGATTGTGTGCATTGCACGTTGGTAGATTGGACTGCATTTTTCAATCCAAAAAGCATCACTGTGTAGTAATATACTCCCAATGGTATTCTGAAAGCAGTATGCTTTTCGTCTTTAGGATATATCTTGATCTGATTGTACCCAAAGAATCCATCCATGAAAGATATCCTTTCATACCTATATGTGTTATCGGTCATAACATCTGTGATGGGGAATGTAAACTCGTTTTTTGGACATGTCGTGTTTAGGTGACGAAAGTTAATACATACCCGGACCTTACCATTTTTCTTGAGCACTGGAACAATGTTGGCAACTCAATCGGGATATTGTTCCTCCCTGATAAAGTCTAAGTCAATAAGTTTTTTGACTTCTGACTCAATTGCTTCCATGATCTCTGGACGAAACCTGCGTTATTGTTGTTTGACGGGCTTTGCATCCTGACAATGTTAAGATGGTACATAGCCTCTTTAGGGTCGAGACCGTGCATGTCTTCATAATTCTAAGCGAAGACATCTACATATTCTCTAATGAGAGAGATGATGTCTTCTTTCTTGGATGGTGATAAGCTTTCGCTTATGAAAATTGGTTTAGGATCAGATTCATCTCCCATATTGACTTGAATTACTTTATCTTCGGTAGATGGATCATGCTGTTCAAAATGCATATCCCACAAGATGTTAAGACGCTTGATCCAAGGGCCATTAGTCAATTTGATCAATTCTTTGTCACCCCCTGCATCTCCGTCTAGGTGACTAGTCGAAACCATGTTCACAATTAGGATTTCAAAGAAGGCTCCAGCGCTGACATCAGATTCCCATGATGATGTCCCAGATGAATGGTCTTGACACAGATAGTCACCGGTTTTATTTTCTGAAAGAGAAGGGGTTGTGACGTAACTCACACCTCTTCTAGTTTTCTGATAATAATCAGGAGGTTTTTCTTCGGGAGTAAAAGACATTCGAACGGGTATTCGATTTCCTTTCCCGAAGTTTAATCCTCTCTTTTCATTAAAGTCATAACACATTTGTTTCACCAAATAGATGGAATTGGACTCGTGGTAACGGAATTGATGAACCCCGTATTCTTCTTCTAAACTTTCCTGCTTGAGTAGTTCAGGTTTGACTCTCCCAAAATAGATAGTCTTTTGCCCTTTCCTTTTAGACAGGACTTTGAAGAAAGCCTTCTGGACATCTTTTATTTCTTCACCTGTAGCGAAGGACGATTTAACCGGCAATGTAAGTGATGTCGCGGCGTATAATATGCACCATGGGTCAATACATGCATCAGTATCATTCTCTATTTGTTCATTTTTGGAGGACACATCAGACAAGTACGCCAAAATAAAATCTTCATTAATGCACCATTCGTCCTCACTCGGTACATTATTATTGCTCTCAATCTAACCTATCGCATCAAAATTCAACTCCCATGGATAATCTTCCTCAGGATCTGGCTTGATGTCGGCTTCGTTGCCACTGTCGATATCTTCTTTCAATTTCTCTTAAGATTCCAGGTAGAAGATGGAATTTTTGTGGAAGTTCTCCACTCCTCTGAAAGGGCGCTTCTCAGCAATCAGGTTTGGACTTCCCCTTCATCATTAGCATACTTCATAATCTGATGTAGTGTAGATGCGACAATGCATTCGCATGAATTCATGGTCGTCCCAATAATAAATTGTAAGATGCGTCTGCATCTATGATGTAACAAGTCATTTCGGACTTAAGATCTCCGATTTGACACCTAAGTTTGATCTTCCCCAGGGGTCGAGTGCTGTTGACGTTGAAACCAAAGATAGTATTCTGGGTGGTATTCAACCGATGCATGGGAATCCCTAAGACCTGCATGACCCTGTAAGGCATGATGCTAAGTGTTGAGCCTGAATCAACTTGTACACGGCTGATTTCTGAGGACCCAATATACCATGTGTAGTATAAAGGTCTATCATATTTATGTTTGACTTGTATATCTTCCTGAGTAAATGATACGCATGATAAACTTCTTGCTGCTTGTAGACACTGTATACATGACTGGGCTTCAGAAGCTTCAGGAATCGGAGTACCTTGTGTAATAAAGCTTTCCATGTTCGTTAAAGATTCAATTAGAGCTTCCTTGGTAGTTTTAGACAATCGCAGGAGCTCGTACAGGGTAATCCTAGCCGGTTTATTGGCCAACTGCGTCATGACGTTGAATTAGAATGGAGCACTTGATTCTCCGGATTCCTGAAAAAGGTTCTTATTACACCGAATTTCTTTTTGCTTCCCTTTGTCAGTTGACTTTTGAGGGACGGAACCTCCAGCGTCTTGGGATTTTCTCTGATCATAGTTCCTCAGATAAGCTTTTCCTGACCGGGTGCCAGGGTTGCCTCCTTGGTCCGCAGCAAGAATGATCATTTCTTCTTCTGAGTCCGTGAGAGGTTTGAGATGTTCATCATATTCTCATTAATGAAGGGGCTAATTATGTTGGATGATTTATCCTTGCCTCTGTTCTTTTTTGGACGAGGAGTTAGTCCACTGTTGGTCTTCAACCAGGTCAGGATGGACACACATAATCTCCCCTTTCGAGATAATGAAGGGAGTTAACCCTTTATCTTTCTGACCGTGTGGGTCAGTATTTTTCATGTGTATTTCCCCTTTATGGATGGTGATCACTCCATTTGCAGCTGCTATAGGAGGGAAATCGACGAACTGCACCGCTATCAAATTGGTAGATACAGTCTTCTGCTCGGGCTTCAATGTAAGCACATTAGCATTCACCAGGTTTTGCAAGATATCTTTAAAACATAGCATTTTCTGATAGGATGTCCCAAGAACCTATGATAACGACAGTAATTGGGATCGTTCATCTTTCCTGCCTCATCTAGTTTCTTGATCTCAGAAAATTACAGTTTGTTGCTCTTCCAAAGTAGCTAGAACAGAGTGTCCACATGATCATCTTTAAATGAGTATTGTTTAGGCGTTCTTTGCTGATTCGGTACTTTGTCTTGCTTAGCGGTTGCTGCCCGCGTGTTAGAATAGGTAGCCAAAGTCTCCTTTCCCTTAGATCGAGGAGCATTATTGCGTTGTTGCTGTGGCTTTGATTGAGTAGCTTCTTTAGCATTGACCCGAGCAACAATCTCTTCGGCTTATTCTCCTTGTGAAACCAATTGTCTCTAGGAGCGATATTCCGCTACTACCATTTGAACAAGGAGTTGGGTATGCATGTAAGTTTTGACCAAAATAGATTGGGTCATATCTGATTGACATCGCAATGTCATACTGTGAAATCTTTCAACATAAGTCTTGATAGACTCTCCCTTCCTCTGCTTGGTGGCGAGAAGGGTCAGGATGAACACTTCTGTATCATCCTCAAAAAATCTGGCTAAGAAGAGCCTTTTCAGATCTATCCATTTTTGGATAGACCCAGTATGCAGCTTCATGAACCACTCAAAAGTAACACCCTTAAGGGTACCGACGAACAATCGAGTCACGATGGCATCATTTGCTATCACATCTCCAGTCTGTGACTTGAAGTAGTAGAGTGTTGATTTGGAAATCCTGTGTCGTCGAAAGGTGCAAAGTTGGGCCTTAAATTTCGGTGGACAGGGAGCTGCGTCCTATTCCACAAGACAAGGTCGTACTACTCCTTCTTCATGAAGCTCACTTCTGTTAGCAATTGCATTGAGGCGAGCCTCTAATTCATCCATCTTAGACGACTGAGGTTTTTGTTCCTTTTCAGTTTCCTTCTCATTTTTAGAGGAGGGTTCTATATTTTGAGTTTCACAATCTGAATTTTCATGCCTTTTGCTTCCCCTTTGAGTATGTCCTCCGAGAAGATTCAGGCTTTTGGACTTTCTCTGTAAGGAGCTGGGCCAACATATCCTTCATTTGGGAAAGCATCTCCTCCAGAGCTTGAAAAATGACATGGTGTTCGTCAACTTTCTTTGCTAAATCATCGGAACTTCCAGTCATATAGGCGGGTTCCTCGTGTGTTATGAAAGAGTTTAAGGATTAAGAATCTGCAATGGTTGAATGTTCATCATCTGAAGTGATCCTCTTGGGTAACTTTATTAATTAACCAGGCGGATAGTTCCTGTGTGAGTCCAAGTGCGCTGATATACTCCTTCGAACTCATCACAGATTTCTCGAATAGCTGGGGAATGACCTCTCTCTGACTCGTCGAAACTAGGAGCTGAGGCCCTCCCTCTGCCGATCATATTAATAGTGACTTTAGAATATTCTGTTTTAGAGATCCCC